TCTATAACATGCAAATCTACCCTTTCTGCCTCACTTATAGGTGCCAGGGAGAATCTTCCTCTGCGGGTACTTTATTGCCCTTTTTCCCCCCTACTGTCCTCTGAAACTTTGGTCATTGACCAAAGTTAAAGGTTAAGTTTGGCTGGATTTGCTCATATTCCTGCTGTTAATTAAAAAACTTTTGAGTGCTTAGATGAAGGGTCTCACTTATGTGCTAAGGAAGGGTCAAACCAATTGCTGGACTAGGGTGCAGGAAGGAATATTTTCTCTATCAGATTGGTAAGTGCCAGAACTGGCTTTTTGGCATTCCTTTGTAGCATATATTAACTGTGGCAGAGGCAAGCTTCCAAGCCCCATCTCCAAATAGGCCCACTTCCTGTCTATGGGCAAACTGCCCACCTTCCTCCCTGCCATGCCTTTTTGCAATTTAATTCAGGTGTTAATTAGGTGGGAGACTGCCCTTCCAGCACCCACTGTTAAAGGGTGATACATACATGCTCTGACCTCCCCTTTTATGTGTCCCATGCCTCACAGATAATACACTCAGTCTGGTAATACTTTGGCTTGAGGCTGGGCTAAATTCAGTACAAACTTAGGTCTCTGTCTTACCGCCCTGTTCTGGGCCACACTCACACCACCCCTCTTTCACTGGGGGCCTCTTCCACTCTGCCTGCTCTCACCAGGCCTCTTCCACTCTGCCCTTGCTCCTTTGAGTGACCCTGTATGGCCTTCCAGCTTAACTCTTCTCCCCTCAGCCAGTCCTGGCATAGCCTTTTGGGACTCTCCCATGACCCTCATCTAAGCAGTGGCTGGGTGATTATCAAACTCTTGGCTGACTTCACTCCTAGCCCCTCACCGGGCATCACACTATTCTTGCCCCCTCCTTGGGGCTCACTCTCTGTCCTCTCACTGGGGCTTGGGGTCCTTCACCCTTGCAGACGCAGGTGCCTTCCCATGGCATGCCTGGCTTACCTCACCAGGGCCCTCCATCCCTTCAGGACTCAGGTGCTTCTCAAGCATACCTGCCCCCCCCCCCATTTGCTTACATCCTGCCCACCAGGTGGTAGGGGCTAGGGTTATTAAGGCACCCTGACCCACCTTTCACTGGGGAGGTTCATGTTCCTGGTATTTAGATGGCACTGTCCCACCAGGCCTCCCTACCCCATCAGGGTGCCATTTTAGTTCATGCCCAGGACCAGGGGCCTCAAGCCATCTTCATAGATTCCCTTACTTCCAGGATGTTCCTGGAGCAGTAGCTCAGCTAGGTGATGCTTGTCCCTTTCTGGCTATCAGAAAACTGCTGTCCCAGCCTTGAGAGCTGAGCATTAAAATGGCCACCCTAATCAGCCACCTGCTGGCTGCCAGCTCCAGCCCTTAAAGTGATGGAGCACCGCAGCTGCTCCATCATAATAACCTAACAAAGTATCTGCTCTTGCAGTTGCGTAACACTGGATGTTCCCTCGTCACCCCTGCTGTTTATTAGCAGCATGTGGAAAGGGGTTATTCATCAGCAGTTTATGGTTTATTCATCATGGTTTATTTATCCATGGAGACTGGTCTATGAAGGTAGGGGTAGTGGTCAGAGTAGACAAGCTTGTGGATACTTTGGACAAATAGCTGGATATGAATGTAGAGGACATCAGGGCTATGCAAAGCTTTGGTAGCTGCTGTGATTCAGAGGAGATTTGGCCTGATTCGGAGACCAAATCTCTGAATCTGAATTAAATCAGGAGACCAATTAAAATCTCTGAATCAATTCAAAACATCTGAATCAATTAGGAAAAGATTCGGCCACTTTGGAGATTTGGCCATAGACTAAGGCAGCTGACACAACTGCCTCCAGCTGATAAATCTGTTGGGGTTGAGTGAGGAGGGAGGGAAGGGGTTGGGACAAGCTGCGCAGCTGGTGCATGGGGGTGCAGGATACGGGCACGGCAGTGCTGGGACCGGGGACTCTGTCCTGCTGCTGCTTGACCAGCTGGGCCAGCGGTGGGTGGGGCAGAATGCAGCTGCGGCTTGCTCCAGGCAGAAGGGGGAAAGCAGCAGCAGAGCATAGCCCCACTCCCAGTGCCACCATGCCTGCATCCCATGCCCCCTGCACCAGCTGGCAAGTGGCAGCAGGGCAGAGCCCCCACTCCCAGTGCTAATGTAGGTGCAGTAGACTGGAAGCAGGGGCTATACCCTGCTGCCGCCCAGAACGAGCCATGCCTGCATCATGCCCCGCCCCCCACCATGCTGGCTGTGCAAGCGGCAGCAGGGCATAGCACCCACAGCTCCACCCACCAGGGTAGAGGCAGACACAGTGGGAGGAGCCGCAGGAGAAGCCCCCCAACCTCCTGGCACTTTAAAAAAAAAAAAAAAAAAGCAAGTCGCACTTACCGGCTGCAGCAGTGGGGATCAGGGCCTCTGAGGGCTCGTGGCAGAGCCCCCCCTCCCCAGTGCAGCACGGGGCAGTGGGGGTTGCCACACCCCCCACTTGGCACTCATGTGGCACCTGCCCTAAGGTGTGGGTGCAGCATGGCTCAGCCTGGGAGCTGGGGTGGCTCCAGCCTGGTATGACTTAGCCCCAGTGACCCCAGCACCCAGACAGCATGCAGCACCCTGCCAAGCCACACTGCATCCATGCAATTCAACAGCTGCTGCTCAGGTGCCAAGTCGAGGAAGCAATCCCCGCTGCCCCCCACTCCCCACGCTGCATGGGGGGCTCTGCCATGAGCACCCAGAGGGCCTGATTGTCAGTGATGCAGCCAGTTAGGTGGGGTGCTTTTTTTTGTTTGTTTTCTTACAGCTGTGCACTCACCAGATCTGGGCACTCATGGCAGAGCCCCCTTGTGCAGTGCGGGGCAGCAAGGATTGTCCACCCTGCTTGGCACCTGCTGTGCAGCAGTTGTTGCATCACACAGGTGCAGCACAGCTCAGCAGGGTGCTGCATACTCTCTGGGAACTGAGGCGGCTCCACATGTCAGCGGGAGCCCAGCACTGCTCAGCCCCAGTGGCCCCAGTTCCCAGGCAGCGCACGGTGTCCTGCTGGGCCACACTACACCTGCACCAGCACCAGCAATCCCCGCTGCCCCCAACTCCCTCATGCTGTGTGTGTGGGGGGGGGAGGGGGGTCTCCCATTAGTGCCCAGAGGCCCCAGTCACCTCTCCTGCCACCAGTGAGTGTGGGTCTTTTTTTTTCCTTTTTTTTTTTTAAAGTGGCAGGACTAGGCTGGGGCAGGGCAGGGCAGCCCTGGGTCTTCTCCTGCGCCCTTCCCCCACCCAGAGAGAGGCAGGCACAGCTGGAGGAGCCACAAGAGAACTTACAGCCTCCCGGCTGTGCTTGCCTATCCTTGGCTGATCCAAATCACTGAATCTCTCCAAATCAGTGCCGAATCTTTCAAAGGTGATTTGACCAAATAGATTCTGGACAGTGATCCAAATCTCCAAATCAAATCACTGTCCTCTGAATCAGCCGAATCTGAATTGAATACATCCCTGTTTGCACAGGCCTAGAGGATGTGACTTGATGTCAAGAGTCTCATGTTCAGTGTTCCTTAAAGTTGGGGAAGAAGAAACCAAAGTCTTCGTGAAGAAACCAAAGTGTTCGAATGAACACTTGGTGTTCATTCACTGTTTCTCAGAGGAAGAGAGAAAAGAAATACCTCACAGCAGGCTCCATCAGAGTTGTGTGTGGAGAAGTTTATAAGCATCAAAATACCCAGCTATCAAAAAATTTAAGAATCGCAACATTTCTTTTAAAAAAGAAGTGTTGCAGAGGCTCCCCAAACTGTGACTGGCAAGGTAGTCAATTAACCCTAATTGTGTTGATTTTAGACAGAAGCTTTGCACCTTTTAATGATTAAGAATCAAATAATACCACCTAAATAGAGCTAATTGAGTAATTCAGATTACCTATGTTGTTACATAGTCTAAAAAAAGAGAACAAAACACATCACTAACCTCTTATTCTTAGACTGCCTTCAGCACATATTGCAGATGCCAAATAGATCAGAGTTTCACCTCTTGTAGTCTTTGCCTTGAATTATAGCACTTCTAATTTTGTCCTTTTTTACTGACATTTCTGTGTTCCGTTGCACTCAGCCTGTGCTCATTCATACCATGGCACATCATCATGAAGTGCAACAAAGTGCAACGTAGATCTATTATGAGTCAACTGGGAGCAATTTTTTTCTAAGCAGTATGTGGAGATTTAGCCATTTGCTTGCTGTTTAAATAATACTTTGCATTTCTGTATCACCTTCTGTCTAGGACTCTCCAAGTGCTTTACAGATATTAAATGAACACTCCTGTGAGGTACGGCGGTCCAGGGGAATCATTAAATTAAAATATTACAAGCTGCTTTGAAAATGTCCTCATTATATATTGCAAATTAGAAAGAATTTTTTTAAGCAGGTTATTAACCTAAGTTAATTTCGTAAGAAATGTGTGTAACCTAACTTTTTTGCAGCTAGTAAAGAGACTGGAGCAGCTATGCTGTATTTGCATATTGCACATTGAGGCTGTCAGAGAGGTTATCATCTAAATCCAGGTACATTGTCAGTGTGTCTCATCTTACCAAGCCTGATGAAAGGAGAGCAGTAATGATGGATTTGTGTCCTTTGTGCTGGGTTGTTTGTTTGGTGGGTTTTTTTGTGGGGGGGAGGTATTTTTTTCTACAAATTAAGAAGGAAGCTGGACAGAACAAATTACAATAATTTAAGTCTATATACTTGAGATCAAATTTAAGCCCATGCTATATGATGCAGCAAAGAATCAAAAGGGATGGACACACTGATATTCATGAAATGCCTAATCAAAAAACACCCTTAATTGAAACGCGTGAAGAGATTTAATCCTATTTTAATCAACAAGTCTTTTTGAATAAAGTTAAAACTGTGCAAATATTTTACATTTTAAAGTAAATGACTTCATTAATGATTCTCTCTTCCGCTTCCCTCTCTGCCCTCCCCCCTTTCTGTTTCCATGTGGACGGCTTCTATTTCGTTCCTCATTTTAAGATGTTCCAGCGGATTTGATCGTCACCGGCAAGACTGGGTAGACAGTGGTTGCCCTGAAGAGGTATGTAACTTCTTTGCAACCTCAGCCTTATCACTAGAAGCTGCTGATATAATTATGATGCCTTTGATTACAATCTCCAGTTTATTAAGAAGGGTTTCTCAAGCCTAAATTTATGCTATAATCATCCATATATATCAATTAAAATTGTGAGTAGGTTTATATTAAAAAAGCTCACTGAGCAATCGCATTATTTGTTTGAAGGTAAAAATGGGCATCACGTGAATTTCTTATTGCCGGGGAAGTACACTAATTCCAAAAATGAATGCAGTGAAAAGACATTACTCTGATTAATCTGGGACTAAGAATCTGATCAGGGATGGCCACAGTCCTTGTAAGAGGCTGCCTTTGAGTCAGCTCTGCCTTTCCTCTTCCCCATTTCAGCCACATGAAAAGAGACTCATGGGAGTATATTTTAAAGAATAGCACCATCAAGAAACACAAGCCCTGGAGTCCTTGATGCTAGGATTCTTCATGAATTGGACGGTCATTCATTAAATAGAAATATTAATCCTTGTCAGCTGAACCCAGGTCTTTCCCTTCTTGGGGGTGGGGGGGAGGGGAGGGACCTCCTTACTGGGCTGGAGTCAGGCTCCCT